CAGGGCATGTCCTGCACACAGCCATTTCTAGACAAGGGGCAGGTGTTGCTGCTCAAAAAAAGAGGGAGCCTGGTCTCGGCTCTGGGGACCCGGATTCCCCCAGGGCCTGATGGAGGTACCCAGACTTCCTGACAAGGTGAAGGGAGCATGCCCCACCAGGGCAACACTGGGTCCCTGGGTGTGGCCTTCAACAGCCCAGGTCCTTCATTCCTGGGGAAAGCCCATGCTCCCAGGGGCAGGGAGGCGCCATCTCTGAGCTCAGGAGTGGGCTAAGGGAGGATGTGAACTTCAAACTGAGGCAAACACCTGGCCCCAAGCCCTGGGGGCTCTGGCACTGACCTGGTGTTGTTTGGGCAGCGGGACAACAGTGTGCCATCCCGGGCAATGAGAGAGTGGACTGCGGCTACCCTGCCATTGGCAAGGAGGACTGCAATAACCGCGGCTGCTGCTTTGACTCCAGCATACGAGGGGTGCCCTGGTGCTTCAAGCCTCTGCAGGAGGCAGGTAAGGCCCAGCATGTGACCACAGGTGCCTGGTGTCTCAAGGCTCCCATCCTTCCTGGGCCCTAGTGGAGACATGAAGACCCCCAGGAAGGCCCACCTGCCTGGGCTTGGGCAGGACAACCAGCACTGTCACTGTGACTATCTGTGTGTAGAGCCTCTTATCAGGGGCCCTCTGCTGAGGGCAGCTGGTAGCCACTGGCTGGTCCCATTTGTCCCCTTTCTATATAATACATAAGAGGGACGCTGTTAAAACATGTTCTAGGTTAAGGAATCCTGTGGAAGGAACCAGATTAAACTGACCCACAGTGAATGGGGAGATATGCAGGTGTGGAATGCTGAGCTATTTTCTGCAAACCAAGCACCCAGGGTCCCTGTCATCTGTGACTTGCTCACAGCAGCTGGTGGCCATGCTGGTGTGGTGCCCTGGTGCCTCCCTGCACCCCAACCTGCTACTGACTGCCCACTGGGTGTGCCTCTCCTCCCTCCTCCCTCAGTGGAGCAGGGGTCAGTGGGGGTGCAGCACAGCCCCCTCTTGCTCTGGGAGGGGCCCTGTGCCTGAGCCAAGCACAGATGGCGTGAGCACAGGTGGTTTGCCATCCTGACTCCATCTGGGCCCCACCCCACCAGGTCTTGGGAGTGCCTGTCTGCTCAGAGCCATCTGGCCTCCCAGGGGCCAGCTCACCTTCTCAGAAGGACCTGCCTTCCAGAAGCACCTTCCTGGAGTCAGAGCCAAGGGGCCAGACTTGGCTTTGTCCTTGGCAGGAGGAGGCTGAGCTCCAGCTGCTGCAGCCTCTGACCAAGGATGGTGTTTGCCTCCCGTCCTGAGCACAGCCAGGGGGGAGGGCTGCAGAAGGCTTGAGACCCGCCAGGGAGCTGGCCAAGCCCCTGCTGGCTGTCCACCTTCCTCTGCCTGCCCTCTGGGGACTCCTCCTCTTCTTTGAGTGCTGGCCAGGGGTCCTGCCAAGGCGCACCTCACTTCTCCATTGCCCTGATGACCTGGGTCCAGTTATTTCCCATAGTGACCCTCCATGGGATAGGCAGCTGTCCTCACAGGCTGTGGGGACACTCCGTGTTTCCCTGGAGACCCGGGGGAGGCTTCGGAGAGGCGCTGCCTTGGAGACCACCCTGCCTTGGCATCCAGGCTGGGCAGGGTGGGTGGAGATGGCACCGCTCACCCTAACGCCTGTGCTTTGTCCCCAGAATGCACGTTCTGAAGCTCTGCTCTCTGCGGCCTGGGATGGCACCTGCCTGTGGATGGTGGCTGGCGGAGGGGGCTGCTCATCACGGCTCCCCCTGCTCTGGGCAAGTGCGTCAGCTGAACACTCGTGTCCAGGGTCTGCTGTCTAATGAATAAAGCTCTCATGCTCAGCATGAGGACCGTTCTTCATGCCAAGCCTCTGCCCTGTGTTCCTCTCTGCCCCCTTGCCAGGCTGTCTCCTGGCACCCATGGGTGGGGTGGGCTGGGAGTAATCAGGGGTCTCCCAGGACTGGTCTGCCCCAGGCCCTGGCAGGCAGATAGAACGAGGAGCTGCGACGCCTTGGCTGCTGCCCTCAGTAGCTGCCCACATGAAGGAGGCCAGGGGACCTTCACTTGGCTCCTTCCTCCTAAGTTCTGAAAACCATGTCACATGCAAGTTTTTAAAAAGCTGTGCCTGCCTTTCTTGGGGAAGACAGAAGTCAGGAAGTCCCCTCACAAATGGGAGCTTCTTGTATTTGTTGGCAGGTCAAGTTTAACCCCGAGACCCTTCAGATGACCTTCTTTCCTTTTCTCTTTCATGAACGCGGGTCTTCTGTATGCACCAGTCAACGAGTGTCACTGACCTCCTGTCCCATTCAGTGTACCGGCTTCTGCAGGGGAGGCTGTCGCCCGCCCTCCCTGGGGCAGCCTGGCTCTGCACTCACCCTGAGAAGGCCCCAAGTGTGCCCAGGGTTCGCCAACACTCGGCCCCCATGGGGACTGTCCTAAGGGGCATCTGCCCTGTCATGGTGCAAAGGCCAGAAGTCACCTCTGCCCACAGGGTGGGGTTGCTAGGTGTCCTCCCCCTGGGAAGGAGACACTGGGGCCCTAGGCAGCAGCCTTCATTCTGACCCTGTGCTGGGACCCTGACCTTGCCCTCCCACTCCCTAGAAGTGCCACAGAACTGCCTTTGGCCTCTGAGGGGGGATCTCTCTTCAGGTACTTGTCCTACGGCTGGGACTGAGAGGACGATGTCAGGAAGTCCTGGTCTTAGGATCCAAAACCTTCCTGTCCCTTCATAATGGTCTGTGGGGCCACCTGTCTGACCTGAAGGGACCCCAGCACCTGGGCGTGCACCAAAGGCCTGCCCTGCACTTGAGGAGGGCTGCAGCCGTGCTCGCCTGGCCATGTTGCTGCCTGGGTCCTGTCCCCCTCTCCTCACAGATTGCCCAGCCCTGAGGCTGAGCCCGATCACAGCTGCAGGGATGTGAAGTTTCCCTGGCCCTGGGCCCAGCCTCAGGCCTCACAGCTGCTGAGACCCCTGGGCTGGGTCAGGAGCCTGAGCTCTGTTGACTTCCCTCCCTGACCTGCATGTGCCCTCACCCCTCGCCCTCCAGCAAGACATCTGTCATGGGAAACTGACCACCTGTGTCTCCAAAGCCCCCCTTACCTGCACCTGCTGTGCCAGGACTGCCCTCCCTGACCTGGGCTCAGGTGCCCCCTGTGCTGTGCTCTACCTGGCCTTGGTCTCTTGTGCTTCCCTCTGTTCCCCTGACAGTGACTCAGTGCCACCCAGAGCCTGCAGCTGGGCAGAGCCCTCCTCCTCCCCCACAGAGCTGCTCCACCTCTCCAGTGAGCTTGTCCCCAGCTGAGCTAGCACCATGGCTCACACAGGTTCTAGAAGTTTCTCTCACTACTCTGTGTGTGCATTGAGTTTGCTACTGTAACAGGGTCCACTTTAGGCTTGGACTTGGCCCTTGCTGCTCAGCCACTGCTGCTGGTTTTTAGAATGGACCTGTTTCTTTCTCTCCCTCTCTTGCTCCTCCTCCCTAATCTCTCCCTTCCCTAATCCCAGGGGAAACAGGGTCACCTTTCTTCCCCACCCTAGGTAGAGTTATCCGTCCCTGAGCCCATATCCCTATAGGAAAGCAGTAATCCAGACTTTGGGGATGGTCACCAGAACATCCCAGAAATGACTATCTCCCAATTAACAAGTGAATTACAACTGCAACAGAGAGCACTTTTTCCAAATGTAGGCTTTGAATCACCTCTTTCAAAGTCCACTGCTGTGGCTGGGGGACAGATCACAGCTCTGAGACAGGATTTCCCTGTATTTCTCCTTTGCTAGCAAAGCAATAAAGCCTCTATTTCCTTTTTCTAAAACCTGTGTCCTCGTCTTTGGATTGGCATCAGGGAAAACTGGCTGGGCCTTCACTAACAAGTTTGGCAACCCAGATGGGAGTTGAGAGCAGCCTCCCCCTCCCCTCCCCTCCCCCTCCCCTCCCCTCCCCCCTCCAGCTTCCTGGGGCAGGCCTGGCTCTCCAGGGAACCCACTTCCCTGCTGAGGATGCAAGGTGCTGGTGAGCTTGTGGAGAGCCAACTGCAGGAGAGTTAGGAGATGGGTGAGTTTGCCTGGGGTTGAGCCAGAGGAGCTGTACCTGTGAGCAAAGCAAGGGACTGAGGGGCCATCCCCAAAGCTCCTTTTGCTTCAGGGAACTCCCCCTGCTCTCCCTGAGTGTACAGTTTGCTCCACTTTGAGCAAAAGGAAAGTGAACTCAGGAAACACGCGACACCCTTGGCCACTTGGTAAGTCCCCTGGCTTGCATGCCAAGATCCTGAATCCACACATCTGATTGCTCTGTGTGGGAACATCTGATCCCCTTTCTGGGGATCACACAGCTAGTGCCCAGGATGCAATCAAGAGACACCATCTACCCGAGACAGATGCGGCTGTCTAACATTTTTCCAAAAAAATGGAATGTAGAATTTGGCAGTGGGGAAATGTAACAGTGTCCACTTTGTGCTTTGAATATAGCCCTGTTGCTCTGGCACTGGGACTCATGTTTAAAATGGACATGTTTCAGGCTAGGGATATAGCTGAGTTGGTAGAGTTTTTGTCTCATGCACAAAGCCCTGGGTCCATACTCAGCACCAAGAAAAAAAAAAAAAAGACATGTTTCTTTCTGTTCCTCTCTCCCTGCTCCTACCTAATCTCTCCCACTAACTAATCCTAAGAGAAACAGGAATACCTTTCTCCCCACCCTAGGCAGGGTTACCTGAGCCTGAGCCCACACCTCCATAGGAATGAAGTAATCTAGAGTTTGGAGATGGCACGAGAAGATCTCAGAAATGACTATCTCCCAAATTAACAAGTGAGTGACATGCCAACAGAGAACATGTGGAACGTAGCCTTTGAGTCCCGTCTTTAATAGCCCCCAGTTCTTGTTGGTAAGCAGAATCATAGACTTTAGGACCAGAGATGAAAGAAAAGTCAGGAACCGGGTGATGGGTGAGTGAGGAATGAAAGACAGAGACCAGGCAGCGATACACAGGAGAGTTTACTTGTCACAGCTGACAAACAAAGGCCACCTCTCCATAGGTGGAGAGAGGCAATAGAGGCTTGCTTCCACGAATGTCATGGGGCAGGCTCAGGGGTGAGAGCCAGGCGGGTTGTAATGCAGGAGGTGGGGGGTGGGTCGGTGTGAGGGGGGAACCTTTCTCAGAAAGGCCCTTGGGCAGGAAAGCGAAACTCTTTCTTAAGATGGCGACTGTCACTTAAGGAGCAAAGCCACAAAACTTGTTTTCCATTTTTCTCAAAACGGTGCCTTTGTTAGGGATAGGCATTGGGTACAAGGACCCAGTTTTCAGCAACCCCCTGGTGTGCACACTGAGACCCTGGATTCCACAAGTGAGGTCTCTCTCTTGGGGACATCTGTGGCGCCACAGGAGCAGGAGTCAGGGCTCAGTGGGACTTCAGGACCTGGAGACTTTCACTCCCTTTTGGTCTGTTGCAGGTTCTCCTCTGTTGGTTGGCCTTGGGTGTGTGGATCCTTTCTGGCTGTCTGTCTTTCTGTTTTGTTCACCCATGGAGCTGGGGGTGGCCTGTCAGAGGAAAAGGCAGTGTGAGAGATTGGCACGTGCAAGTCTGTCTGTTTCAAAGTGGCTGTGTGCCAGGCATGGTTTCAGGGATCCCCGTCTTCCCTGTTCCTCTTTTTGGGTCTCTCTCTGGCCTTTAAGACAGGGCCATGCTGAGGGGATCTTACTGGCAGTCTCTGAGGAGAGGGATCACAGTGAAAGGGCCACCTAGAGGCAGAAGCCTGACTAAGAGAGAGACGCGGCTCTGCGTCGTGTTCCTGGACTATCAGCACCTTGCAGCTGGAGTTGGTCTGTCAGAGGTGAAGCTTATGAAGGACGGTCCCACAGGCCTCGGTGCAGGTGCAGGGGGGTGGGCACCCTCAGGAGCCAACTGCAGGTGTCAAAAGGCACAGCCTCTGGTGTGCGAGGACAGCAGACTCCAGAAGAAGGGTAGAAGAGACTCCTAGCCTTCAACCCAGAGCTGGCCCCAGCACTGCTCCTCCGCCTGGCCCCCGGCAGCTGCAGATCCCTCCCTGTGGGTCAAGGACCCCATCCCCGAGCCGGGCAGAAACCCAGGGGAGCTGCCTGCCTGCAGAGAAATGGGCAACGGGAACCGGCTCTGCCCTGCCTTCCAGCGCCTTTGGCCCTGGGGTGGAGGCTGCTGGCCACAGAGGATGTGGCAGTAGGTTCTAGCTTGTCAGTTTAGGACCTGGTGAAAAAGGCTCACCACTCCCTCACACCAACCCCACCCCTAGCTGCCCGCATTAGGACCCGCCCAGCTCTGACTCCTGAGCCTCCCCCTAAAGTCCCAGATCCCAAGCCTGCTTTGCCTGTCTCTCCCACAGAGAGGTGGCCTTTATCTGTCAGCTCTGACAAGTAAACTCTCGTGTGTATCTCTGCCTGGTCTCCATCTTTAATTTATCACTTATCCGTTTCTCGTTCCTTGCTTTCCATTCATTTTGGTGCCAAAAACAGGGATTAGGTTCCCTGTTGTGCCTTCTCCTCTCTTTGAGGGTCACTATCACGAGGGGGCAAAATTGTGACTTATGCAGGCAAGAGGAGAAATAAAGAATGTCCACGCACTTCTGCCCCTTTCAATGCTTTATTCACTGAAATTACTCCAGTCTACAGGTTCTTAATCAAGAAAATGACAATCCTTAATGCTAGGCTCTGCAATAGCCATGATTAATTCATATTAAACAACTCTAGATTAATTGTAAGCACTGCAAACGCACTTAATCATGACAGGCTCGTGACAGACATTCCCTCTGCGTGCTAAGCTCAAAAGTCTCAAGCCTTAGGCTTTATGTCCAGCAGATGCACACTCACTCAGACCATGGGGATCAGGTCTGGAACCAAAGCAGGCTTTTCCTGGTGTGGAGTGGACGCCCAGTTGAGGAGGGGGTCTTAGGGAGGCGTTGCGGCTCTCACCAAGGTCCAGATGAGGCTGTGGAGTGTGAGAGCAGTGAGGATCAGGCGGAGGCTCAGGGAATGATGACAGTGATGGGACGTCAGGTCCTCAGCAGGCTCTCCAGCTCGAGGGCATCCTTGTTTCGGCTGGCTGAATCCTTGTTCGTTTGTTCTATCATTTATACTAAATTGGGGGTGGGGGTTGACTCCCCCTTATCAGCTACCACTGGATTTCTCAGTGACATCATTTACCCTGGGGTCAGAAACATCTGGTCTGATGGTCTCCACCCTGATCTTCTTGCCTTTCCCTCTTATCAGGCGAGCACAGCCTGCCAGGGGCTTCCCTCTGTTTATCAGGGTGAGGGGAATAACGTGTCTGAGGCCACACTGGAGGGCTCTGTGAATGTGCCTGGTGAACTGCAGGTTTTTTAAAATGGAGTTGCTTAGGCTCAGGCCTAAGGCCATCCTCCTCATAGACACTGAACATCCCCGAGCCCCAATCTGGATTCCATCCTGGGACCAGGGCCTCCATTCTGCCGAATGTCTTCTCTGCACCCACCAGACCCTGTTTTATATGTGGTCAGATGGGTCACTGGGCTCGTCCATGTCCTAAGCCTTACAAGCCTCCGGGCCCTTGTCCTAAATGCCATCAGAAGGGACACTGGGCTGTTGACTGTCCCCGAGCCCATAGCAGGCCCCAGTCAGCCAGCTCTTCTGGTTCCCCTTTCCAACTCTTAGGACTGGCTGCAGAGGACAGACGAGGCCCAGCTCCCCATCACCTGACCACTAGCATCACTCTGCGGGAGCCCAGGGTAACTGCATATTTCAGGTGGGCCTGTGTCCTTCCTCCTAGACACCTGGCTACACATTCAGTCCTCAAGGGGTTGTGAGGGCCTACCACTCCTTCTGTGACCTCGACTGCCAGGGTAGAGGGTAAACCTGGCCAACCCTACAGACACCCGGCCGTGTTTGTGCCTTGGGCTCTCTAGTTTTTACCCACTCCTTTTTGGTCATTCCACAGTGTCCTGTTCCCCTTATGGGAAGGGCCATCCTCACACAGTTGGGGGCTACGCTTTCCTTCTCCCCTCACCTGCTTGGAGGCTTGGGTCCTATACTTCAAGTCCCACCACATAGACCAAAGAGTTTCAATTCCTGACTCAGTCATATAAGTGGACCTCCCGCCATGTCCATGTGATCTTGTCTAACACCCTCCAGACTCGCCTGCCGCTCCCCTGACCCTCCACCTGACCTCAGGACCGTCCCCTATTCCGTCTGCCAGTGCCTCCCCTTACCCCGTCCAAGGTGGACCCTACTGTCTGGGATGTTTCCAGTCCTTCTAGGGCCTCACACCACAAGCCCATTCACATCCGCCTCAGAGCTTCTTGCAGAGTGGCCCTTGTAGGCTCCTGACATAACCCCTTCCTGTCCCAGGTGTGTGTGACTCGCCCTGGGCCACTTTACTTCCATTGGTGCCAGTGAGTCCCTCAGGTTCTCCCATGGACTTTGACCTCCCCTCTGGGGATTCGAGCTGCTTTGGGACCCTGGCCCGAGGGCCCAGGACCACCCACCTCCATTCACCTAGTGTTCTCCTTCTCATCCACACTCCTGCGTGACTTCGCCATTTCCCTCCCCCTCCTCACAAGTCTACTCCCTAGAGACACCAGTGACAAGTCTCCTCTCTAGAACTTAGACGTTGGCACAGCACCATCCCTTCCCCTTGGCCACTTCACTCTCGGGTCTTGGTTCTCAGCTCCTCAGCAGAGCTCACGAGAGCCCTGGCCAGGCCTCTCTATGGGCAAAGCCCAGGACTAGGAAGGTAGTGGGTGACTCCTTTCTCTCAGCCCCAGACTCCAACTCGCCATGGGCAACCCCCAAATCCCATGGGACTCACCTCTCAGCTGCCGCTTGCCCACTTAGGCCTACTCTCTTTGGCTCCTGATCTGAAGGCCCTTCAACCAATCCAACCTTCATATCTTCATGACTTTGGCAAGTGCCCAGGAAAGTGGAGGAAATCCCTTATGTGCAGACCTTCTCCTTCCCCACTCTAAGCTCCTCCTGCTCCCCCACCCAGCTTCTCCTTGCCACTAAAGCTCTGATTCCTCCAGAGACCCCCCTTCTAGACAAAAAGGGACCCATGGCCCTCCTACCTTGTGGAGACCTGGGCAGCCAACTCCCCAGCCAAGGCCACACTGACATTGAAACACAAAGGACAGACTCAGCAGGCTTGGTAAGAGGCTAAGGGGGAAAGTGTCAATTTGACTTTTCCCTTGGCTACAACACAGAACAATGACCTCAGAACTTTCTCTCTCTCCCCGTCTCCCTGATCTCACACACCCCCTTCAACTTCATGTGGCTGAAAAGCAGGGATTTGCTCTAGGGGTCCTCAGACATGTTAGGGCCACCTTTGCCCCTGTGGCTTTCCTATCCAAGGTCTTGACCTACTGTTTGGAATGGGCCCTTTGCCTACGAATGTTGGCCAAAGCCTCTCTACTCATTAGGGATTCAAAGAAACCCACCTTGGGGCCCCACTCACCATCCTGGCTCCCCATCACCTAAAGGATCTCCTCACCTACCAGGGCTTACACTCCTTACCCCTGTCACCTTTGATCTCTACAGGTTTCCCTGGTGGGAGATCCAGTCTCACTGTCCACACCTGCTCACCTTTAAACCCTGCTACCCTCCTCCCGCTCCTCAGGACTCTTCCCCCCTCCTCCTCTCACCCACTCATGCACTGAGACTCTGGGGAAGCTCCTTCCACACCCCTCCCACACACAGGAGGCCCCTGCTCCAGGCCACATGCACAGGGCCCACAGATGGCCTCTCCTTCCTTCAGGAGGGCGTCGTCAGGCAGGGTCTGCTACCGTCTCTCTACCCTTGGCTGTGGAAGCCGCTCCCCTCCCCAGTAACACATCCACTGAGCAGGCTGACCTGGTGCCCTCATCAGAGCCTTCACTGTGGCAAAGGGGGCCTCCCCCAACGTCTACGTGACTCTACTTTCCACCTACTTCTCTCCACTCTGCTTCGTGGAAGGAGCGCGGATTCCTGACCACCAAGGGGACTTGAGTTACTAATGCCCCTTGACCTCCGTCTCCTTCAGGCTCACAGCTTCCTTCTGCCACTGGGTCTGAAGGACGGCAGCTAAGTAACCCCTTCTCCAGTGGGTACCCCTTTTCCTGACCTCTCTCCTTGTCATAGGCCTTTGGCAAATGCTTGCCCCCTGAGTCATTAGATTTACTTGAGACCAGATGCAAAGGATCTCTAACCCAATTGTGAACCAGCTTCTGTTTAGGACTTCCAACCCCTCACCAAACTTAGGCCGTCTGGACTCAGCATCGCCTGGCACCCCTGACAATCACCACTACCTCAGTAAAACCCTGTGCCCCTAACAAGGGTCCAGGTGCCACTCTTTCCCAGCAGGAAGAAGCTACAGAATATCGATCTATGCCCCTCCCCCGTAAGAGTCTCAATAACAAACAAAAATGGGGGGAAAGTAAGGTCTTGCTTAGCCTCTGGATGGCCATCTTAAGTGTAGCCGCCACTTTAAGAAAAATTTTCCTTTCCCTCTGAAGGGCCTTTGTGAGACAGACTCCCCACTTCCTCACACCAACCCCCCCCTTCACCACCCACAGTAGGACCTGCCCAGCTCTGATCCCTGAGCCTGCCCCATCAAAGTCCTGAACCCCGAGCCTGCTCCGTCTCTCCGTCTGTGGAGAGATGGCCTTTATTTGTCAGCTCTGACAGGTGAACTCTCTGACCAGTGTCTGTCTGGCCTCCGTCCTTCATTCTTGCTCCCCATCTCACAGGTTCTAGCTTTCCTTTCACCAAGGAAACAGCACAGCTGGCTCTCATGGTCCTCCTCAGGGCGTTCACAGCAGGAGGAAGCCAGGTGTGGCTGTCACCTCAGTCCCATTGAGGAGGGCTCCTTGGCACAGGCGCATGTCCCCAGGCAGCACCCATCCCAATTCCCAGGAAGCACCCAGCCTGGCTCTCCCTGTCCTCACAGAATGACTGCTCTGCAGATTACCGCGCCTACCCACAGCCCCCACTCAAACATGCCCGTGTGGTGGCGTGATGCACAGGATGTGCCCAGGGATTTCCAGGAGGGTTCCCTGCAAGAGCCTCAAATGTCATCACAGCACCTCAGCAAAGACAGAGGGGACCTGGCGGTCACCAGTATCAAAAGGGCCTGGGACTGAGATCAGCCCCTGCTCCCCACAGCCCCCTCTTCCTGAGAGCTGGGGTTGGCAACCTGGGCCCTGCAGAGGGGACTGGTCTGCCAGAGGGGGCAAGGTCTTCATGGCTCATGCAGGTTGAACCTGTGTCTCAGGTTTAGGTCTCTCCAGCTCATCTAGGTGTGCTGCTATAAGTCAGTTTCCAGGGTTAGCACTTCTGTAGAAGGAGGAGAGGAGGGGAGGAAGAAAAGGAGGAGGAAGAGAGGGAGAGGAGGGAGGGAAAGAAGAAGAAGAAGAAGAGGGAAGAAGAAGGAAGGGAAAGGCAAAAAAGCTGGGCAAAGATGGATGTTTGTGTTGAAAGTCTACTTGGGCTGGGAGAGATCCAAGATGGCGGGCCAGAGGGAGGCAGCATTCTGTGTCATTCTGTGACCTGGGACTCAAGTAGTGAGAATACTGCTTCTTTGGGAGCAATATTCCTGCTCCCGTGCAGGACTTATGGCCACTGTGTCCATCCAGGGCTCCAGGGCTCAGCATCAGAAACTGTAAAGCCTTTTACAAACCTACTGAGTATATTGTAGATAACAACTGAATTCGCCATTTCTGTGATTGTGACCAAACTGCAAACGTTTTATTAGCAAACATTTGTTTTCAGGGTGTATATTATTTATATTGGGCTCTGATAACATCGTCCTTTACCTCATAGGAAAGGTATGGGATCCCTACAGGGGCTTGCTAAGCCTGTAGGGTAAAAATGGTAACGCCTTGGATCCACAGCCCTAGATGGGAAGACACACAAGCAATATGAAAAGAGAATGGAAGAAAGTGACCCACACAAATCAAGACCACAGTACTAGAATCCATGGCCAGCACAGCACAAGAAATGACAGAGAAGGAGTCCAGGGTGTACATAATTGAAATGTTCTGTGGAGTAAAGGATGATATAAGAGAGCAAATACAGGCACAAAGATCATTTTGACA